GACTTTGCAACTTTGCCAGAAATCAGCCTGTCCTGTAGTGCTGTTTTGCTACATTCTGTGGAGAGATTAATAGCTCTTAAAAGCAGGAGGGACTGTTATGACCGCTTAGTCTGATCTCCTGCAGAGCACAGGCTGGAGAATTTCTTCGGCTTCAGGTCCACAACTTCTAGTAAAAGAAGAGTGTTTCTCAGCCAGTGCAGTCAGCCCTGATTTATTCCCTCGGCTGTAGCATTTTGTCTGACCCCCCCTCTCTCCCTGCCCCCTTCCCATGCCTGCCCCTCACCTCTGGACATGACTCCACAAGCCCACGGTGTTTTTGCAGCCGACCTCGCAGGCTGTGGTATCGTTGGGCTGGTTACAGCCCTTTTTGGCTAGGCTGGTAGAACATATGCTGCTCTCACTGGTTTATGTCTTAGGTGCTGAAATTCTGGAGGTGTGAAAAGATTTGGTAAGACTGCTCTTCTGGGGCAAAACGTCCTGGCCTCGCCATGCTCTGCCTGGGGCCCCCGCGCTTCTGGTCGCGGCCGGCGGCCAAGACACCAGCTGGGACGTGTCTTCAGAGCAGGTCCCAGGTCAGGGTTTAGTGAAGCAGCATCTTTCCCACGGGCTGGGGCTGGGGCTGGAGCCTTGGTGCTTGTTGCCTGGCCTTGGCCTGTGCTCAGGTGGACGTGGACGGAGGGTGAAGAGTTGGAGAGGATGGCTCGTGGGTTGCAGCATCACTTGTGTTGCCCACCTCGTGCTAGGGCAGCTTATGAGGGGCTTAAATGTACAAGTCTTTGAAGACTTGTTTTTGACTCTGTCTTCATCTTTTAAAGCAGCTGGATTCTACTTGGATGATTTTCCCAACCTTTTGTCTGTAGCTCTGAGAGCTGATGACTTGTTTTCAGAGGAAAGATGAGAGTTTTACATATTTAGGTGAGTCTGGGAGAAGCAGCTTTTGGAAGAAGAACCAGGCTCTTTAACAGGATTGCTGATGGTGTGGGGAGTCAGGCAGCTTGCTCCTTGGCCATGGCAGTCTTCCCTTCGTGGGGTTTGTCAGGCAGAGAATGAGGCAGAGTGAGACACAGACTCCTCATATGAGCAGGGAAATGGGGGATTGTGGAAAGAGGACAATGCCCCATGCTAGAAATATCCCTCTTCAAAATGCTCATTGCTCAGCATCCCCTTGTTGAAGGTGGACAGTTTGGAAAAGGGGTGACTAATAACATGTCAAGGTTGGAGTTTGCTGCTGTTTTCAGAGCTTGCTATGGAAGAACAGAACTCATTTATAAGGATTTTGAGCAGCTGGATTGTGGTCCTGCTCCAGGACTGGAATATTTCTTACAGAAGGGAAGATTCCCTTTAGAAGGGATGAGAAGCTTTGTTAGTGGTGGTGAGACTGGCAGACAAGGTCTCCCATGTGCAAGCACCTGCAGCCCACAACTTGCTTTAGCTAGAAAGGTGCCAGGGCCAGAGCAGGAGCAAGACAAACAAGGTCCAGGATCAGTTTCTGGCTCTTGCTCAGGCTGACTTGGTGACCTTGGCCAAGTCCCTTCTTTTCCTTGTGTTCCTGTTTGTAAAAGGACAAGGAGAGTCTGTGGCTTTTGTAAAATGCTTCAGGAGCAAAAATAGGCTTGTGCTGAGGACAGTGACCAGCTGCTTGAAATGAATAGAGCCTTTGTAGGGGGTGGGTCCTTCCCCCCTCATTTAGCTCCCAGTTATTTGTGCTTCCTCAGGGATTCTGGATGGGACAGCAGTTAAACAAATGGCAGAGCTGTCTCTCTTCCATAGCTTACGTGCCATTCAGCATTATCTGCATTTTAAACCTATTGCAAGGCCTCTGTTCTGCAAGAGGAGTCTCTGGCTTGGCAGCTCCATCCCCTTGGAGGTACCAAGGGAGGAGCTGATCCCGTCCCCCTGGGACAAGGGTGTACCAGGCTGCTGTGGGATGTGCTGCTCTGCAGAGGAAACTGAAGGTCACTGAAGCCTTATCTCTGTGCCTCTTGGCAGCTGACAGCTAGTGCAGTGTGCCTGTGATTATAAACCTTTGACTCCTTTCCAACTGGCTGGTGCTGGTGCTGACGTAGGGGCTTGCTCAGCTCAGGCTTCCTGGGTCATTAGTCCATTGGCAAGCAGGGTGGTTGCTGAGCTGAGACTCCTGCAGGGACACTTAATGCTCAGGGGTTCTTTTGAGGGGTTGGAGGACAGAACCAAACCAGAACCCTGGCAAAACAGACTCTGTTTGGCTAGACTAAAAAAAAAAAAAAAGAGAGTAAGGCCCAAATCCTGCTTGGAAGGTAATATTCTGCCTCCCTTGGTCTGTTCTGTGCTGGAGACCAATTCTGTAGCTGTGAACTGCTTGGATCTCTACTCCCTGCCATGCTGCTCAGCAAGGCCAGGTTCTGCCCCAGCCCTGCTGTGTTTTGGGGACAATGGAGATGCAGCTCGTTTTTGCCATTCTGCTGATTATAAAGTGCCAGCAAGTTATTTGGCTTTGTTTTCAGGAGTGTGATTTCCTGGGGGAGTGCAAGTGCCACAAGCCTGCAGTGCTTCCCTGAGCTCTGCTTCCATCAGCATCCAAGGGTTTGCTGGTCACAAAGAAGAATTAGGAACCCCAGTGCAGGGTTGCTGCCAGCAGTCCTGCTTGCTGTTGCTTTTCCAGCCCTCTGGCTGTTTGCTGTGTGACCATGAGTGTGATCATCCCACCCCAGTGCCTCAGTTTCCCCCTGCAGTGTGGGGACTCTGGGCCCTCTGTGATGGGAGGATGAGAGGTGCCCTTGGAGCATGGCTATTAACACATCCTGGCATTTCTCCTGTGCTGGTTATCTTATTCTTGCACGATTCTCTGAAAGATTTGGGGTCCTGCAGAATAGTCATAGGAAGCCTTTAAAAATAATCTCGTTTAGTTTTTTTCCTGAAAAACAGGAGACCGTTTGCTGGTGGGATGACCTTAGATCAGTCCTGTCATAGCCCTGCAGCTCTGTTTCCCAGTCCAGTAAGTACAGAGAAGTATTTTGAAGAGAAATTGGAGGCTCCAGCAGCAACTGCTTGCAGGAAAACTTACAAACATGTGCCAGGCTTTTGGAGGTCAGGACTGCTCGTGGCAGCTCTGCTGAGCAAAACATGAGCAGACATCTGAAATACCCAAACCCAGGGCTGGTTTTGTTCTCAGAGACAGACTCTGCTGCTCTTCTTGGGCCGCCAGTCACCCCCCAGGCAGCCTGTAAGGGCTGTGGAGGTTGAGCTGGAGTTGTGCAGGGGGATGTTGTTTCCTGGGGACTCAGCCGTGTCTCGCCACCCTCCCAGCCCAGGCTCAGGTTCCCAGGTGAGCAGCAGCAGCAGCCCGTTGGCATTGGCAGAGGAAAAGGGATGTATCAAGTTCTGGGAACACTCTGCAAGTTTAATGAGGCAGGAAGGAGCAAATAAAAGCCAGGGTGCCACAGGGAGTCATATGCATGACCCCACGTAAAGGCAAACGCTCTGTTGTTCGTGTTGTGCTGAGACACCAAGTGCTTGGAGCAAAAGGATACCTGGATGGAGGAGCTGGGAAAAAAACCCTCTCCTGCATCCCAGGCTCCTCTTTAGGCCATCAAACCCTTCCACCCACCCTCCTGTGCTGGTCTCTACAGGGTGCTCTGCAGTGCCTGGAGGTCCTGACCAAGACAAGGGCTCTTCTGGGCAGCCCCTGCTCTGCCAAACAGCCCAAAATAGAGGAGAGCAAAATGATGCTGGTGTGGCTGCAGGGTCCCATAGGAGAAGCCAGCCCTGCCTGCTGGGCTCCAGCCCCACGCACTGGCTTGGTCTCTGTGGTCAGTGAAAGCCTCTTTGCTTTGCAGCCTGTGCCTTCGCTGGTCTCTGGAACTGTGTCACCATCAACCCCCTGAACATCGCAGCTGGCGTGTGGATGATGTGAGCAGAGTTTCTTTTCTTTATTTTTCTGCTGGGTGGGAAGTTTGGTGAATTAGACACCACTGGGCAAGGGGCAGAGCTGCCCTGCTTGGGCCCTGGACGCGAGGGGAACATCCGTCAGGCTCTGCAGGCTGCCACGTGCCAGGTCTTGCTGCACAGGGCAGGTTGAGGCGCTGGGTTGATCCTATTTATATTCTTCTTTCCCCACCCCTTTTTAGGTAAATACTGGGATACCCTTATCCCCAATAAG